CGACCATTTGAAAAGTTTTGAAACATTCTTTAAATATAATATTTAAAATTTTTTTTACAGCGTATTAATCTAGGTACCTACTGTGTGCGATTTATATCGATTTGCCTTAAATATTTAATTTAATGTTTAACCAGCACGTCACAGTAATCACTAATAATTAAGCTCTCGACGATTTATGTCTTACAAGTGTATACAATGATGGTTAAACATAAATATTTGTTATTATAACGTTTTATACATACCTCAAGTAGTATATTATGAACAAAATATATCACATCACAATTAAATAAAATTTTATTTTTTTCAATTTAAAATCACCAAACAAAATAACGTATATGCGATACGTTTTTATCAACCATTAATAATAATATGTTTTATAATATTATAATTATTAAAAATATTGAATATTCTATCGAACACTTATATTTTTTTCATACATAAATATTAATTAAATTATTTACAATTTATATTACCACATCAATTAAAACAACTTGGATAATTTACAATGAAATAATTTGAACGAAACACAAACATGTAATTAGTTATAATATTTATAAACTTATAATAATATTCGATAAAAAAAAATACACAGCAACAACAAGACAAGTTTGTGTACGATACACGATCTTATACATTCGTAATAGCAAAATTAAATTAATTAATACGAGATCGCAATAGACATTTATATTTATATAAATAGATTTTTTTTAAATTTTTTTTTTTTCATGAAATCGTTCGTAATACCTGAACGACTTGCATTATATTGGGCCTTAAACCAATAACAACATATAATATTTTACAATTTTTTTTTTTAGAATTATAATATAAATAAATTAGAATTAAAAGTAACGTAAAAATATTTGAAACATAAAATGATACATAATATAATAAAACGTGTCTTCATTTTATAGTATTTATTGCTACACATACGATGTTGGTGAAAAATCTTATGATTAACCGATGATCTACGTTTATAAGGATTATTTTATAATTTATATACAATTAACAATTAATAAATTTCGATAAATATACTGTTTTATGATTAATCAAAAATCTTAACAAAATCTACCATCATGGACAATGACTACAATTTTATCAATCGAGTTTACTCAATACACTTTACAGTTTACAATAACTATGGTATTTGTATAGCCAAATTTTAAATTTTATTAAACATTTAACAAATTCATATTTGATGAAATGTATCAATTTTAAATTATTTATTATTAATTAATCTTTGTATAACTGCCATCATCGGTTGAATCAACGATGTTTTTTTTTCTCTGAGCACTGAGTAATAGCAGTTTCATTATAGATCGGTACTAATCTGTTTATTGGGATCTGTCTGGTTCCATCGTATAGGAGCACCTGAGTATTATGTATTACGATTCACAGTATTATTTGAACATAATAAGCTTATCGAGATCAATATTTGCAGTGCATTAATCAGTGACTAGATAAATATAATGTTTGTTAATGTAAAGCCTATAGACTATTGTGATTGCACACTACAGGTCGGCTGAAAGCATCGCTCATTATTCACAAAATCACTTCAGTCGAAACTAGCTGTATAGGACACTTAATATTTCATTTTTACAATACACTTATAAGTGCGAAATTAATATAATATTACTATAATTTAAGTTATTTTTACTTCTTAATTTTTACATTGATTTAGTTTTTAATATTATTATTCATATTATATAACATTATAATATTGTAAGGAGTAACATATATTTAACATCATTTAAAAAAATACGATTTAAATTGTATTAAAAAAAAAGGGTTTAATTACTAAAAATGTACAGTTGAAATTCGAGGAGGAGGGGGGAGGTGGTAGTTATAAAGTACACTTACACAGTAATTTTTATCATAATATTGATGATAAGCACAAACAAGAATTGAAGTAATATAATATTATTGTTATTTATTTAAAATAAAATAATAACCAAATGAGAAAACTAGGTACCTACCTATAATGATGTTCCTGTCGTGTAGTCGACAACAAGACATTAATAATAAATCATGCCTCCATTGTTTGACATACGTATTTGAAGCATAATATTGTAATTTATGTTTTATTACTTGACAAATTTTTAAACGCTTACAGTTTTTATATTATTCTATGATTTGACATATATAATTTTCGTTCTGTATTATGAACTAATGCTTTAAATAAATATTTAAAAAAAAAAAAACTCTAATAAATTGGTTGTTTGTTCAAAGAAAATGCATTGCTTAAAATATATAATTATTATTTTATGAAATTTCAAAATACGATGAAATCGATATGTCCTAACATATACCTATGTATTATTGTAATCTATCTATAGAAGATTTGGAATTTAACAAAAAATAAAATATGTTCTTTACCACAATAATTTCACAGTTGTAATATTTGTAAGTCAAAATTTCATTGAAAACACAATAATAAAATATCTTCTAATGTGTATAATTCCTTTAAAATAACATTTTTTCAACACGTTATTTTATTTACAGATAATAGGTAGGTACTTTGTGATCACAAAATTACATTAACTTTTAAACTACCCATTTCGTTTTTTTTTTTTTTATTTGAATTCATTTTAAATTATATTAAGTAACTAATTTTATGTCATTTCATTGCAATGAATATTTATACATTTTATCGTCCGTGCAAAATAAACAAGTCAACAAGTATTTTTAATGTATAACGGATTTCAATCAAATTATTTCTGTGTAAAAGTGTCAAGTCTAAAATTGGAAAGTGTATAAGTAATAATTTATTTATGTTCAAAGAGTATTTATCACTTTGACTTGACGTACAATATAATATGTTTAGCGAGGGTAATTAATTCCTATACATAAACGTCTTTGGATGATCTTAACATTTACATTTTTATAACTTATATTATATAAGTATGCTTATCGTTCACTAAAAGTATTTGGTTAGCATAATATAAGACGGAAAACGAATAAACGTGCAAAGGGCGAATAAATGTGTTTGAAAGCGAATTTTATTTTCTACTTTTTATCACAATACGTGCCTATATATATATATTATATAACGAAATCAAATAATAACGAAAGTTGTATTGCTTTTTGCGAAGTTGTATTGTTAAGTGTTTATTGTGAGTTAATATCTTAACGTCTGAATTCCTATTCATTATTCATTGTCAATATAATCAATTTTGTTTGTTTCATTTTGAATGGTCGTTATTTAGACATAAACGTTTATGAGACGAACTCATAAAATGTTTTGTCAGCAAATCAAAAATATTATTATATTTGTTTACACGCAAGACCAACGCGTTGGCCTACTCCACGATCAGTGACATTTAATTTCTTCATAATAATAACAATTTAGCAAAAATTACAACACAATACCATAATACCTAATAGAAATCGATCAAAACAAAAGCAATATATTATAATATTTAGCACTTAGTCGAAAAGAGAACCGTAAAATACTACGTGTTTTCTTCCATTACTCAGCTGCTGACATCGGCATGGGCAATAAAGTTGAAGCAAGGGCCTTGAAGTTTGACGAGTTAAAACGTAATCCAATCTATAACTTATAGGAAGACAAAAATTTACCACAACTAATTGAGACTGAGTAAAAATATTTACACCGGTTTAGTGTATCTTTTTAAAAATAATTTTTACTTGTTTTGTAATTAAATTAGTGACAAGCGCAGAATAGTTAATTTTAAAAAATGGTTTTAGTGCTCGAACATTGGAATACGTTATAGACATATTATTATAGCCTAAGTTTTGGTTTAGTTTTTATTTTCTGTAAATTGATACTGCTGCTCTGATGTAATTTTCCGACTCTTCTGGCTCGGAGTATAAATAACATATTGCGTACGTCGACTTTATATACCACGATAAAACAAGACATACAAAACAATAAAAATAAAATAATAATACTACTATACTAATAATAATAATAATAATAATAATAATAATAATAATAATAATAATAATAATAACAATAATAATAATAATAATAATAATAATAATAATAATAATAATAATAATAATAATATTAATAATAGTAATAATACTTAATAATAATAACAATAACAATAATAATAATAATTATTATATTAATTATAATAATAGTAGTAATATATGACGGTCAACGAATCGACTCAGCTGGAGCGGATGTTGCAAGGAAATCCATTAAAAAATGGCTCGTGGCCAGCGAGTGGTACCAAGTGTGCTATATTATAGTATTATATTATTATAATAGTTATGTCGGTGATCAAACCCTGCGACCACTATATCGTACAAATACACACATAAAACATATTATATACATAAATATGACTAGGTGTCTACTTAAATATACTGTATATTGTTACTATATTATTTATACAGTAAAACCTCGTTAAGACGGAACTTCGTGGGCAGAAAAAAAATTCCTGTTTAAAATTTATTCGATTTATACAGTTATAGGTACATATTTTTGTAAATAAATGGTGATAAGACTCCTCTAATATATTAAATAGTTATGAATAGCTCAAAGATATAAGATTATGAATACTGTTTGATGATACAAAAAAGTGTGGAGTTAATTATTACTCAGTAAAAAATATTTTTTAAAAATCTGTTAAATTTTTTTTAAATGGTACCATTTAATTTTAAATATTTTATAATTATGGTTTATTAAATCGTTCAATGATAAATATTATTGTGAGACATCTGAAATATTAATAATTAAAAAATTAACTATAAGGAACTACAATAGTGAAAAGTAATGCAATGGGTAAAATAGACAAGACGCGCGAAACTGTGGTTTACTGTATGATGATATTTAAACAGGAAATTTCGTTTTACTATACTAATATTTCTGCATATTAAAAACATTAAAAACACATTTCGTTTCAACGTCTCAACGAGAAAAAAAATCGTTTTACGCGTAGGTATCCCCGTTTTAACGATATTACACCGAATAAAGTATATAATATAATATAATATTATCCTTTAAGACGTTTAAGTCATTGACATAACGCTGTATGGTTGTATTGGCGACTGTCGATCGACGTATTTCTTTAGACTTGGTTCCTCGAATAATGACTGTATCTGATCACGAACCGGTTGTGTGGCGCGTTCTGGTTGGGCTTGTGTCCGGTGCAGTAGCTGCACGTCAACCGCCAAAATGCCATCCTAAAGTCCTGGCTGACAAATGCATATATGAAGGGGTTGATGGCCGAATTGATCCAACCTGCGTGCACGGAGAACAAACAAATACAAAATAGATACTTAATAAAAAACATCAAAAAAAATTATAAATCATACATAATAATATATATTTTTTTTTTATTAATTAACCCGTGACAACTTAGGCCGTTAGGTGGTTTTTAACTGTGGGGAGGGTACTGTAGGTTTTGTAAACATGTGAGTTCATAACAAAATTATATAATATTATAATATACCTAATGCATATTATAAAACACTGCTGCGGTTGGTATGTATATTATGAATAGAGCATATTGATATTATACAACAATAGCGAGACGTTAGCTCACTATATAAATGTATAGCTGTGTATAGAGGAAGTGATTATCATTCGAGCAAGAATTATATAGGTCACACCCACCTGAATCACGTCCATCTATTGTTACCAAATATTTATGAGGATATAACTTATATACTTTGGTATTAAGTAGGTAAAAAACGAGTGTTGTTTAATCCTTATCAATAATATACGTATTGGCTGTGTGTGTATGTCAAAGACTTCGGCATTTTGATAAGATTTTATCAGTTTTTAGAGTACATCTTTAGAGAGAAGATTTTAGAAGGTATGGGACGATCGGTTTAAGGCAAAAGATGATGGGTAGTGACTAGTGTTTATATTTGATTCTTGGGCACTTGAGCTTAAGAAAGTTTTTCTGATCCAAGCATAGGTATTTGGGGTATCACACTTATTTGAACATGCGAAACCTATGCAAATACCTAGTCATCTGTCCTGAGGAGTATTTATTTGTTGTCGCGTACAAATGAGTTTTACTGGGTATATGGTAGTTAATTATCATACAGTCTTAATTAAATAAATAATATTCACGTCTGTAATGACTCAACAATTACGATATAAAATAAAATACGACGCCTGTCGATAAATATATTAAAATCGTAAGACTAAGCAATTACCTTCCTCCAGGTGTTCGGAGGGCTCTCGAGATCGTGTTTTCGAGAATTAGATCAAATACACTATACAACACAATTGTATATAAACCATGCACAGATAATATAACAAATGCAATTAATATAAAATATTATATTAATTGCCTTACCTGATCCGCAGTCGATTATGAATTATCTTGTAAGGGTTTTAATAGACACAGAGTAATATTTTTTAAAGTATAAATCGAAATAATAAACGCACTGATTATTGCTCACATAAGGAGTCCAGAGTGTCGCTCGTTGAAATCGGTTTCTTTTAGACTTTTTTGTGAGGTTGTTACTCGGTGAATGGTGCTCATGCACTGGTTTAAGGGATGACGAGAAGATGCTGACCAGAGAGTGGTAGGCGGCTTTATCAAAAGGTTATCGTGAGCTTGGGAACTAGATTATTCTTTGGCGGCAGATACCCTTTTTTCCTTTCCTTTTCTCTGGCGGCATCGTATAATAAAGTCACACACCCTGCGTTTTACCGTTATGAGTGCGTGCCGATATCTTAGTTGTCGTTAATAATGGTTTTATTTGATGTGACCGATTTCTACAAACGACAGTCTGGCCGTTATTTATTAAGTATTCTGTAAGATTTTAGTTTATTATAATGGTGTGTGAGCATATCATTACATCCACCCTACACTTTTTTGTGTTGTGCCCTCACATAATTTTTAAGTTATTTAATTCTACGCGTAATTTATCGATTTCATTTTCTTTTGTGGTTTTATTGGTGTTAATTTGTTGGAGTTTAGATTTTATTAATTCTGTTTCGAAATCAAGTGAAGTTTTAGGAGTGTCACCTGTAATCATAAATTCAACCATTTCATATTTCCGCACATTACTTTTTAATTCTGTTAAATTTTCATTTCCCATTATTCCTATGTATCGTGCTATGGAGGGGTTTAAGCCTTTCATTATATTGCGGACCATTTCCTCTTGTGACATTTTACTATCAATGCGCCTACATAATGATTCAGCATCGTTAATGTAAGATACCGTGTGTTCATCTGGAAGCTGTTTACGTTTTTCTAACATTAATCGGAGCATATCGGTCTGCGCTATTGGTTCAAATTCTAACCTAAATTTTTTTTCTAAATCAGCCCATTTTAGGTCTTCACCACTATCTATTATGTTATCATAAAAAGTAAGGGCGGAACCTTCCAAAAATACAGGGATGTATTGAGTTTTTTCGGCTTCAGACCAACCATTTATGATGGCAGCTCTGTCATATTTTTTTAGAAATGTATCGATGTTTTCAGAAATAGCACCTGTGAAATTGCTTGGTTTGAAATATGGTTTTTTATTCTCAGGCATACTGTTTTTTATTAGATTACCGTTAGATTTGTCAATTGGTTCTGAGATAAATGATATATTGGTTATTTGCGTATCGAAATCGTCTGAAATGGCTTCCCCCTTTAAATATTTTTGTAACCTAGTTTTTAGATCTGTAACTAAACCGGATGTTTTTAGGTGTCTTCTAGATAATTCAGTTATTAATTTCTCTTTATTGCATTTATTTATCCAACTTGTTGAGATAGTGGTAAAGTCGATATCTGGGAATTTAATGTTATCCTGATGGGGGGTTTGGTCGGAATTTTGCATATGTGAAATTTATTATTAAATGTATTAGAATAATATAATAATAAAAAAAAATTCTTTATTGTTAATTGAAAAGTTAATGAAAATTAATTAATTATTTTGGATTTTATTTATACTAATATAAAAGATTAGAAAAGTTAATGAAAATTAATTAATTATTTTGGATTTTATTTATACTAATATAAAAATGTGACGAATAGTTATTTGTATAAGTATTGTTTGATTATGATTTGTATTCATCTGATGAATTATATCTATATATTTTTATATTAAATAATTATGTTATTTTGTTAATTTCTTTTAAGGTTTAATTATTAGAATCTCGTAATAAATATTTGTATAATAATTCATGTATAATATATAATTATAATATTTTTTTTTGATTTAATAATGCAAGTATGAATTGTTATACAATTATATATTCGTTTTAGGTATACATTTTTACTTAGTGATTAAATTGTAGTCACTTAATTTATACAAAAAAAGAAAATTTGTTGATGTTAAGGTTTGAATGATATATTATAATTTATTAAATGATTAAATTTTTCGTTTTACTGGAAAAGGGGAAATTTTAGTTTGTTTTCTTATTATAATAACTAATAATACTTAATGTATACTGTATATTGTATTATATGTAAAAATAACAAATATATATTTTTTATATTGGATTTTAGGTTAAGTTATTAAATTAATTAATTTTGTTTTACCTAAAAAAAAAAAATTGTATCTTAGTTTTCTTTTTTTTTTTTTTTTAATTAATAATAATAGGTATTTACTATAAAAATTCAATTGTATAAATTATTATTAATATAATATAATATATTATAAATAAGATGTTACCTACTTCAATTTAATAGAATAATTTTATGAATGTACCTATAATATATATTTTTTTAGTTTTAGTTTTTAGTTTTAGTTTTTAGTTTTAGTTTTTTAGTTTTAGTTTTTAGTTTTAGTTTTTAGTTTTAGTTTTTTAGTTTTAGTTTTTAGTTTTAGTTTTTAGTTTTAGTTTTTAGTTTTAGTTTTTAGCTTTAGTTTTTAGTTTTAATGTTTGTTACTTATTATGTTTTATTATTAAATAAGTAAATTTTTTATAAGCTTATAAGCCTTTTAATTTTAATTTTAGTTATTATTGTTTTTCTAAGTTTTATTTTTAATTTTTTTTTTTTTTGGGTTGATAATTTTTTTAACATAAAATATTTATTTTTAAATTTAATAATAAAATATTAAAATCTTATATCTAATATAATTTTGTAAAATGTATTTGATCAATTCTCAGTTTATTTATCTGAATAAACTGAACTTTGTTGGGCGCCACTGTGTATTGCGCCACGCACGTTGTGTTCAAATTGAACAATCTCCGATGTGTTTGTTGGTGGCGGGTAATCCGTGGAAGAGGCCGGCCGACTCTCCCACCGATTACCCCCCACCCGTTTATTATTATTATTATTACTATTATCATTGCTGACAAAGTCGTCGTAATTTTATCGTGTAGGGGTTCTAATAGACACAGAGTAATATTTTTTAAAGTATAAATCGAAATAATAAACGCACTGATTATTGCTCACATAAGGAGTCCAGAGTGTCGCTCGTTGAAATCGGTTTCTTTTAGACTTTTTTGTGAGGTTGTTACTCGGTGAATGGTGCTCATGCACTGGTTTAAGGGATGACGAGAAGATGCTGACCAGAGAGTGGTAGGCGGCTTTATCAAAAGGTTATCGTGAGCTTGGGAACTAGATTATTCTTTGGCGGCAGATACCCTTTTTTCCTTTCCTTTTCTCTGGCGGCATCGTATAATAAAGTCACACACCCTGCGTTTTACCGTTATGAGTGCGTGCCGATATCTTAGTTGTCGTTAATAATGGTTTTATTTGATGTGACCGATTTCTACAAACGACAGTCTGGCCGTTATTTATTAAGTATTCTGTAAGATTTTAGTTTATTATAATGGTGTGTGAGCATATCATTACACGTCACAGCGTCACGCGTATTTTATATTATTTTAACGTCAAGCGTCGGTCCTTACAAAATATACATTTAGTGCAATCGAATTGGATAGAAGATGATAATATTGTGATATATTACATTTTTATTACAAAATGTAAATAATTTTTTTCTCGTTTTCAGCACCTGTAGGCAGTGGTTGAATTGGGGGGGGCGGGGGGACGGAGTCCAACTTCTATTTTTAAAATATTTTAGCGTACCCCTTCTAATTTCAAGAATTGATAAGACATTTAAATGTTGGGGGGACGCACAAATGTTTTATACTTTTGCATACCCCTTCTATTTTTTTTTCCAATTCAAGCACTGCCTGTAGGTACACACCGAGAAGCCGGGAAAACGTGCAACTCGCAAACATAAAATATAGTCAGTTGAAATTAGTATAGATTACGTTTTATTTATTTATTTTATCGGTTTTCGTGTGGATATTTATATATGTATCTTATATAGCCATATAGGTCGTCGGTTTTAAGTGCACGCAACACCA